CCCGCCGCGGCCGGGCATGGTGGGACCCGGCTCCACCGGCCAAGGCGAGCCAGCCCAGAGTGGGTCCTGTGCAGGCACCAGATCCAAGGCTAAAATGGGGGCTGGCTGCTCCAGGAAGGACTCGTCCCCGCTGGGGTTTGGGGGGCTCCGGGCAGGGGCTCCCCGTGGCACAGCCTCCTCTGCACAACCGCCCGGTGAGAGGAACAACACAGCCTCCCGCGTCCACGTGCGGATCACCGGCGGGGAAAGCGCAGGGGAAGAGCCGGTCCGGTGGGACACCGAACCCCCCAAGCCGGGGACCCCCACAAAATGGGGTGTCGGGCAGGGAGGGCTCCGCATGGCTCTGCCGCCCTTGGGCGCGGCGCAGCCGGGGATCCCTCCCCAAGGGCTGCAACAAGGGAAAGGAGAAAATTGAAGCCGTGCTTTAAATGCAGTCAAAAAGCAAAAGGAATCGGCCATTCCCCAAGGCGTGGGGAGGGCTGGACAGGCACTGGAGAGCGGGAGGGAACACGGGGCAGGGGCCGGCGGGGAAGGGAGCAGCCATGGCTGGCAGCGCCGCGGCGGCCGGAGCCGCAGGGGCAAGGGGCCAGGCGCAGGGTGCTGACAATGGAAACCCCATTAGACGCTCGTGTTTCACGGGCAAATAACCCCAGCAGCCAGCCACGCGTCCCGCAGTCGCGAGGCGAGGGCCGGACAGACGGACAGACGAGGAGTGGGTGTGTGCCAGGGGGATGGGGTGAGCAGGGAGCTCTGCCTTCCAGCGGCTTCAAGGCAAAATACCTGATTCCTGCATGTAAACAGCTGGTTTCGGGTCTTTTTTTTTTTTTTTTTTTTTTTCCTGGGTTGGTTTGTTGGGTTTGTTTTTTGATACGACCTGATTGTGGGGAAAAAAAAAAGAGCGTTACCTGCAGAGCGCGGGACTCAGTAGGTAAAGACCAAGTCCGAGATGCTGGACATGAGCCAGTCCCCCGCTATCATCTCCGTCACCTCGGGCGTGCAATAGTCCGGGAACTCGAAGTGCGAGGAGCCTCCCCGCGGGAAGGGGTCGTGGTCCTTCTCGAAGACGGACCAGTCCAGGGCACCGCAGGCGGCACCGGTGGGGGCCCGCCCGGGCACAACCCCCAGCAGCTCTTCCTCCAGCTCCTCGTCAGAGGAGCTGAAGGAGGAGGGAGGGGCCCCAGCCGACATGGGAGAGGGGGACCCACTCTCCGGGGCCTCCCCGGC